GAGAGAGAGAGAGGGGGGGGGGATGGGCCCGATATCTGCAATCATTCGATGGGCCCTACCATTGTGCCAATTTACTTCGTTACCATTAATTTATCTAGAATATTTTGAATTAATAATTATAACATAATAAATTTATAGGTCAATGCCCCGATCATAATAAATGATATCGAAAGCCACAAAGTTGGCAGTTCAATGACTATTTGGTAATTTGTGTGGTTCATGAGATGAGATCGACGGTGAATGAAGCATGCATTTCTATACCCTTTTCTATTATTCGAAGTCTATCATCTCAAATCTTCCTTCTTCTAGGGATGATACGAGCTCTCAGAGGATTCTTCATGACGACGGTGAACTCCAGCTTCTCGGTCATGTCAACCTCCTCGCCCTCCACTCGCTTCCACTCGAACTCCCTCACTAGGTTGGCCACAAAGTACTCGAGGTGGAGCATGGCCAGCCCCAGCCCCGGGCATATGCGCCTCCCCACCCCGAAAGGCATCATCTTGATCTCCCTGCTCCCCGTGATGTCCACCGCCGCTCCCCCGCCGCCGCTCAGGAACCTCTCCGGCTTGAACTCCATCGGCTCCTCCCACACCTTCCCGTCCCAATTCATCTCCGCCACGCAGAAGTTGACCGCCGTTCCCTTGGGCATCAGGTACCCGCACAGGTCCACGTCCTCCGTCACCGCGTGGCTCAGGACGAAGTGGCCCGGCGGGTGCCGCCGCAGCCCTTCCAGTATCACCGCCTTCAGGTATGGCATACTCTGCAGGTCCTCCTCCTTGATCTCCTCCTCGTCCCTCCCGTCGGTTACCCCGTCGATCTCGTCCCGCAGCTTCTCTTGTATATCTTGGTGCTTCACCAGGTTCGCCATGATCCACTGCAACGCGGTCGACGTCGTGTCCGTGCCCGCGTTCAGGAACTCCGAGCAGAGGACCGTCATCTCGTCGTCCGAGAGCTTCCTGCCCCCTTCCTCCGGGAGCTCGATCTCGAGTAGGGAATCCACGTAGGAGTACACGAACCTTTCTTTTTCGTTTGGCGGCTGCTGCTGCTTGTACTCCTTTCGGGCTTCGATCAGGGGAAGATATAGCTGTCCCTGTCTTTCCCTCATCTCCAAGACCGTCTTCAATCGATTGCGGAAGATGTGCCTGGAGATGCTTGGAACAAAGGCCAGCACGCTGAGTTTTCTGCTGTAGAGGAGGAGGCTCCGCTGCGCCTCCTCGACATTCTTGATGGCCTTCTCGTCTAATTTCTCGCCGAAGCACATTAGGACGAGCAAGCAGAACATAGCGAACTGGAAGCTCTCCATGGCAACGACCACGCCGTGGTGGGCATCGGCCTGGGATCGGAGGTGTTGGAAGAGAACACCGAGGACCCACGAGCGGCCGCCAGCGTAGAGCTTGATGCGGGAGTGATGGAGGATCTCCGAGGAGAGGTTGCGGCGGAGGAGGCGCCAGATGGGGCCATAGGCGGCGGTGGAGATGTTGTGCTGGCTCGCGCTGAGGAAGCGGACGGCCGGCAGCTGGGCGGGTCGGTCGGAGAAAGCAGCGCCGTGCTCGACGAGCGCCTTGTGGGCGATGGTGCGGTCCAAGATGAAGATGGTGGCGCGGGAGCCGATGTGAAGCGTGACGACGGGGCCGTACCGAGCGTGGAGCTCCCGCAGGATGTCCTCGATCTCTCGGAGGGACCGGCGGAGCCACAGGAGGTTGCCGAGGATCGGCACGGACGGCGGGCCGGGAGGGAGCCTCCTAATCTTGACTTCACGATCGAGGAGGAGGAGGAGCAGCGTGGCCAAGGTGACGGAGAGGAAGATGAGTAGCCACAATTCCATGGTCGGACGGATCGGTGATTGTCTTGATCTCTCTGTACATATAGTACATATATCGCAATGGAAACTTGGACATGAAGTCTCATATCTATAGCCAAACTAGTGGTGACGCACAGGCTTACATCCGCTTGCCTTTTGATCGAGTAAGGAACCACCACTTGGCATAACAGTGGCCATGGTGTTGACTGTCAATGTGGCTTCATCAGGTATCGCCATGGCAAAGTCATCAAGGAATTAATTAGAGCACCGCATGGTGTTTCTGGTTCTGGCTTTGGTGGGGGAGGTTCAGTCCTCCTGGGTAATCTAGTCCAAATTTCGTTTCTTACTATACATAGGTTTCCATTGATGACATTGAATCGATCTAGTTTTAAGGTTTCTTCATCAGATAGAATAACTATATTATGTGCACGCATTAGTCTGGTGATTAAACTGTTAGGATTGGAGAAGCACTAAGGGGGTGAGGGGGGGGGGGGTGAAGACTTAGTAAAAATAGCTCGAGTAAAGAAAGGAGATGAAAACTGAAAGTTTGCTGCTAAATAAATAAATGTTTCAGATGTTAGGATCAAGAGCACTAAGGGGGGGTGGGGGGGATGAATTAGTGCAGCGGATAAAAACGTCAAATTCGTCAAATCTCTAGTACGATAAAAATTGTTTCCGACGTAAAATCGATTTCGAAAACTTAACTTGAAAGCAGAGCCGTTTGACTGGTGGCATGTCCAGGATGGATCGAGGGCTAAGCAGCTGCTGGTTGATTCCTGATGGCGGAGGGCTAAGCAATGGCCACGACCCGAGAGTCGTTCGACGAAATTACCGACCGAACCCCCAAAGCAGTCGTCATTCCCTCTTCTCGAAATAGACGATGTTGTCACAATATAAACCTGGAGGATCATAGGAGCCCGAATGATTAGAGTTGAGAGCTGCCTGCACCACCACCACCACTTCCTCGTCGAACCCAACAGAATAGAGATAGATGGAGAGAGTAGATGATCCGGGTCGCACGAGGACGCGGGGGAGAAGAGGCAAAGGAAGGAAGAATGGAAGGTGAGCCACGTCTGATCGGTTCCCCCATTCGTCTGTTCTTTGCCCCAACACATTAACAGGAGCTCCGTTCCATGCAATGCAAATGCAAACAGAGAACGGAAGGCGAGGCACGTTTGCCTCTCCGTTCGTCGCTGCCTCCATACCTTCTCTGGCGCTTCCCGTGTGCATGCAGCCAACCGATTGCAGTCACGTGGAAGGCAAAGCAAGGAGCGAGGAGGAGGACGAGGCCCCTATTTCGGCTCTCTCACACCCTCCCACACGCACACGGAGAAAGCAAGAGAGAGAGAGAGAGAGAGAGCCATAGCCACACCATTGCCGCGTAGCCCTTCCACTTCTCGCAGAAGCACCGGCCGCCTCCGCTTCTCCTTTCACCCCTGCTCCTCCCGCTTAGCCCTCCTTGCTCTCTCCTCCTCCCTCCTCCTCTGCTTCCACATGGTGTTCGTCTTCTTCTTCTCTCTTTTCCTCTCTATAAGAAACCGTATGTCTGATTCGAATAATAACAGCATTGCCACTGTAGGCGGCGGAAGGCATCGCGTCTCGGATCAAGACCGTGGCGGGCCACAACCTGGACCCCACGCCATGGCACCTCTTCCCCCGCGTCAAGCAGCAACTGCGCCCCCTCGCAGTCTTCCGCTGCCACTTCCTCTCCTGCCCTCGCAGGCGCATTCCGCCCCCTACCATGCCGAAGCCACGGCGGCCTTGCCCGTCCTTCTTCCGGTGGATCCACCGCGACCTGCAGCCGTGGCGGCGGTCCCGCATCTCGCCTGCGATGGTGGCCGAGGCGGGCAGACACGCCGCGATGCGCGTGGTGATCTTGGAGGGGAAGCGCCTTTTCGTGGACCTTTACTACGCCTGCGTGCAGAGCAGGGCCATGTTCACTATCTGGGGCCTGCTGCATCTCCTGCGGAGGTACCCCGGCATGGTCCCCGACAACGGGTCCGAGTACTGCCCCGGCAACGGTGGCGCCGATGGCAGTCATTTGCCGCCACCGCCGCCGCTCTTCCGCTACTGCGCCACCAGAGATCATCTTGACATCCCCTTCCCGGACTGGTCTTTCTGGGGCTGGTGAGACACTCGCATTCTCCATTTCCCAATTTCAACTCGTTTATTATGCTGCTAGATTACATGATTCCATTGTGATCTCTGATATCGTCTATCTATCAGCTGTGGTGTATATTAAAATCTTTGAATGAATCTAACAAATTAATTTATAGGTAGATTCACACATGAAAATGTTTTCCTGCTTCCTTTTACTTTTTATTTTCTTCAAATCTGTTGTTCCTTCTAACAAATTAATTGATAGTTAGATTTCTCATCTTTTCTTTATGGTTTGAACAACAGAGTGAGTTTGGATCTTCAGATTCAATTGCAAAAGGACTTTTGACTGTGAAGTGATATGACTATTGAAGTTAGATTTTGCTGCAGCCTAAATTATCTAAGAACAGAGTTCATTAGGTCATTCATTATACAACTCTAGAGATGATAATTTTAATCTGTATATAAAATAAAGTTGCTTCTTTTTTTACAAAAATTGTGCAAATAGCCAAATAATCCCTTTGATAACAGATAAATAGTTCAAAACTCACTGAATTGAATGGTTAAAGATATATATCTTTAACAATATGTGGCTATAGATATAAATGGACCTTTCTTACTATCCAATCATAAGTTTTCGACTGAATTGAAATAACATGCGCCAATGAAAGAACATGTCGAAAGAATCATTGGAAGCAGATTTCGATCTTTCTTTTCAGTCACTTGATATATCCAAAGGTTCCTGTTTGGGTAAGAGACATTTGCAAGCTTCCATGGAAGAAAAAACTGAAGATATTTTTGTTCTTCTTTTGAGAAATCGGATAATGTTGTCGTTGGCCCATGTAGTTCTTAAAGGGCTTATATGAAGTATCCCAAAAGAATAGCCTCGAATCAGAAAGCAAAAGAGAGTTACTTCTGCATGCAACTAGAGATTCTAGCCAAAATCTCTGAATAGAGAGAGTGTCATTCTCGGAAATCACCATCTTATTCTCACCACTTCATCCATGCTTTAGCCATCTGGAATTGGCTCTCACCGCTTCTTCCGATATGTAAGTGTGTGATTGTCGTCATCCACCTGATGTCTTTTGTGGATCATGGTTAGACATTATTTGATGCTCCTCAGAGTTACAAATCCAATGTGTATGCAGGCCTGAATTAAACATTAAACCCTGGGATGAAGAGTTTCGAAACATCAAGCTCGGTTCTCAAACTTGAAGTGGAGGAAAAGGGCAAGAACTGCATACTGGAAAGGCAACCCTGATGTTCAATCACCCATAAGAGAGGCATTGTTCAGTAGCAATGACTCTAAGACGTGGGGAGCACAAATAATATGCCAAGTATGGGACTAAGACTTGCTGTTAACAGTTACAATGTTCATGAAGGATTACAGCAGTAGTGGCCTTACGGCATGAATGCAATTTTGGCCTGAAATGCAGGACTGGGTAGAAGAATCAAGATCTGGTTTTCAAAAATCTAGCCTCTCAAACCATTGCAGACACCGGTGAGCAATTACTGTATTCTTTTAGTATGCGGTCACATTTTAACTCCTAATACAGCAGAATTCGATGGTAATGCTTCTTTCTTGATGTCTTGTTGCAGCTATAAGATATATGCTGAGGGTTATGCATGGTCGGTGAGCTTGAAGTACATCATGGCATGTGGATCCCTGGCATTGATCATCAAACCGCAGTACGAGGACTTCTTCAGTCGTGGTCTTGTTCCGAAAGAAAATTACTGGCCCATCAGTCCCACTGACTTGTGCCAATCTATAAAGTTTGCAGTTGAATGGGGAAATCAGAATCCATCTAAGGTGGTGTTAATATCTTCTCCTCTAGTTTTCAGCACCTTGCTCATTTATTGATGGCTCTACGCACAACATCATCATGCTTCAGGACATGATGGCTTTACGCAGAACAAGCCACAGGAATAAGTTGCTGATGGCTTACTACAGTATCATGCTTTAGAACAAGGATTTTGCTGTTCTTTTCTTTTGATTTTCTGCAAATTTTCTGACATGTTGATTGGATCGACCATGAACAGGCAGAAGCCATAGGGAAGAGGGGGCAGGCATTTATGCAGGAGCTGGACATGGATCACGTATACGATTACATGTACCACCTCATTGTGGAGTACTCTAAATTGCAGGATTTCAAGCCAGCTCCTCCGTCGTTGGCTCAAGAGGTCTGCGTGGAGTCCATTCTTTGTCTTGCAGACAAGCAGCAAAGAGAGTTGCTTGAGAGATCATATGCTTCGCCTTCTTCCTCTTTGCCATGCACTCTTTTTCCACCCAGCTAGCAACTGGTGTGTTTGCGAGACTGTAAAATTGTAAATAGAACTTGTAATTGTGTCTTTATTTTTCATCTCACTCTGTTTTGTAGCTTTTGAATCCCTGTTACTCTTCTTTTAGATAGAAACAGCAATCAATCTATAGTCCATTGAGAATATCCAGTGGTTGATATAGGCCTTGTCGCAAGTATGAGCGTCTTCGAACGTTATTTAATGTAATGAAATTAGAAAAAAATAGAAATTGCCTTAACAGTGTTGAGAGATGGCTTCAGCAATTTCTTTTGCAAGGATGCTCTAAGCATTCTTGACCGATGGTTTAAGCTCAAAAGTAAGTTGTTAACGAGTCAATTATTCTATCAATCCAATAATAACACTCATGTAATATTTTTTTTTATCTCTTTAACATGTTGGTGATACATATCTCAACCACATAGCAGGTATTTCATAGCAGCACTCGAATGACACACACACATGGAGGATTTGTAAAGCAAAAGGAACCCAAAGGCTTTCATTTCATATTGATCACCATTTATACAGACGCATTGGGAGGGAGAAGAAAGAATGATAAAAGAATTGGGTAATACAGTTAGCAGTAATGGTAGCGATGCAAGATGACATAGGAGGCCAGCCTACGAAGAGCAGCATGTAGTCTTCTGGTTGACAGGTTGTCCACGGATTTGCACAGTAGGAGGCCTCGCGCCGTTCATGCCAGGCTGACTTGCCATCCTGCATCCATGCATGCACAACACATTCATCAACAACTTGGATGTGCACACTACGCTTAGAGAGATCTTACTACGACAAGCCACCCACTTGTTCTTGATAGCAGCAGTCATAGCCATGAACGCCTGCTCCACATTAGTCGCATTTTTAGCGCTAGCCTCCAAGAATGGGACACCAATTTCATCAGCAAATGCCTAGTGCAATACATACAAGCATGGTAAGCAGCACAGGAAATGTGATCAAACACCTAGCTACTGAATTATGCATCTGTGGTAATAAAACGTTCTCTTAATCCAAGATTGAGGCCTAAGAATTTAACGATTCAACCTTTGCTTAAGCAGTTAAAAATCAAGTTTTGACATATAAGATATGGGAAGATAAGGTTCAGGTGAGGCTATGTCTTTAACCTGATGTGGCCCAGAAATATCAAGTGGAAAGAGTTTGGGGCCAACCAAACCTGAACAGACTGTCCGCTAACCAGCATGCGGCCACCCTTACAGGATTTCAGCTTTGAGTATGTGGGCAAACCCAGATGGTTACTGATGTTACAAGTTCAGCCCTCTAGAATGAATCAGACATGCAAGCTATTATTTTCCGAATATGTGCCTATTTTCATTTCACATTTTCTTCTTTTTTTTTCTTTTTGGATTTATTTTTCTCACAAATAGCTCACTTGCTGATCCAACATGGCCAATCAAGCCAATCTTAGTAACACATTCTCACATATATTGATTCTGATCTTAAGAGCCTTAACATTAAGCTGACACTGGGTGAAATATCACTCAATGTTTCATGGCACAGAATGTGAGAGACTGCAGCAAAAAGACTAATGAAAATGGATGTCTAAACAAATATAGTAAGATCAACACATGCATCAGATTTGAGACACAGTAGAGTTATATTATTGAAAACAAAACCATTAAAATGGTCTCTCAGATCGTCAAAAAAAAACCAGAGGAGTTCCTGGTGAAAGTATAGTTGAAGGTTCTACAAGAGTAACAATATTATTTCAGTTCATAAAATCAGACATGGAAGATTTAAGAATTGTCATGATAAGAGTGACAGATGCTAACAGAAATGACTGGCAGTAGAGAATTTTTAATGTAACAGATTTGGACGGAAATGTACATTGTTCTCATCAACAATCAACTAGAGAAAAGTAAAAGAGCCAGAGCAGACTTTAGATGGTAATGAGTTTCATTTTCACCTAACAAACCATCCATTGAACAAAGATAATGCATGAATCACAATGAAATTTCAATAAAGAAACCATGGTCATCCTGGTTCACTAGTCCATACTATGCTAAAGCCGGCTTTATGTATAGTTTTCTAATTCACTAAACTATATGAAAAATTCACATATATGGTGCTTTTAATATGTTCCAAGAATGATGAACATATAAGAAGCAAGAGAATCACCTTGGCTGTCTCATATGACACAACTTTGTTTGCAGTAAGATCACACTTGTTTCCAACTAGAAGCTTGTTGACATTTTCACTTGCATAACGATCAATTTCATTCAACCACTGCTTGACATTGTTGAAGCTCTCCTGGTCTGTCACATCATAAACAACCTACAAGATAACGAAGATCAGCAATTGTTATACAAAAAAAAATTCCTTTTCTTTCTGATTGTGATTAATATCAATCTTCCTGTGATTTCAAGGACCTTTGAGTGGTTGATAGGGGCTGTGGATCACGTCTCCTGTGCATCAATTGGTAAGGAGTATGAAACACCACAGGAAAATAACTGTGTTGATAGGTACTTCCAATTGGAAGTGCCTCCACCCTAAACATAGACTCTTGTTTCCTCAGCATATACGAGACAAGTTACACGGATGTATGGCAATACAACTTACAATAATTCCATGAGCTCCCCGATAATAGCTGCTAGTAATTGTTCTGAAGCGTTCTTGACCAGCAGTGTCCCACTATAACAAAAAAATTAGATGGTTTTTGATAGATAAAAATAGAACTTCCAATAGTATTCATGAAATAATTTATAGGGACCAACATTTATACACATAAAAAGCTATCAAAACCAATTTGCACTAATAGAACATAAAGTACTAACTACATGACCCTTGCAGTCAAAGTAGAGTTTCAGCCCTGTGTCATAACAGGAAGCTATCTTTTGATGCAATGACAAGTCCTCATTTGCTGCTTTCACAGGATATTGTGTTACTGTTAATGGAGCTTACTCCTTTATGATATTTAGGAATTACAAATGGCATTTAGTTTCAAGTGATCAAAACTAAAAGTTCATTAACCTGTGGTTTATTTTCTTTTCCTAATTTATGTTCTATTTTTTATCATCCTCAATGAACAAAATTAGGTTCCTACAGTAGGCTAACATGTTTGTAGGACCAACATAATCCTCTATTTAACTTAAAAAGACAAACATTAATAAGTCGTTGTAAAAAGTTTTTTTTCCAGAATACTAATCATACATTAAAAATACGGATTGCCAATCTTCTCCAACAACAACTATTAGTAGCAAAAAATAAGTATACTTCATGTAACCAGCATTGATACACCGAGTTCGAGAAAACTCACAATCTGAAGCTTAACGGTCTTCCCATCCAGCTCCACAGTGCGTATTTTCTACAAATACCAAGAGCAGATGAGACTAAATTCTTCATGCTAACAAAGTCATGTCTAAAGATAAGCACACTCACAAAATCTACTCCAATGGTGCTGATGTAACTGTCCAGATATGAATCATCCTGATCAACAAAAGGAAACGTTACAAGCTATTAACTCAAAACAGAAATCTCAGGTTATTGTTGGTGTAAATAAACTAATTAAGAAAAAGATTAGAATCAAGAAAGAAACATAATGGAATATAAACTGTCGTGCAATCAACACAAAGTTTCCTTTGCCGTCAGCCATAAACCACCAAGTAAAAGATCAAAAATCAAATATTTTTTAATTTAAGAAGATATGTCATTAGCCGCAAACCCCTAGGAAGATGCTGTTGAAACTACAAAACCTTCCCACAGAAAGATCAATTCCATCTATAGAATGTCTAGCATTCATGTTGATATGTAAAGCCAGAGAAAGTAGGCAAGCAAAACCTTGTACATTTTGCAACATAATGCAAACAAGAGCAAGGCTCCCTAAGATTCTCTGCTATCTTATGCACAAATGTTATCCTTAATGAATAAGGACAATCACCACATTTTTCACTTCTTATAACAAATTCCAGATAAATATAGAATTAGATAAACACAAGTCAAGCACTCACCGCAAATCTTAAAAGGAGACATGATTTGCCAACACCAGAGTCACCAATAAGCAGAAGTTTGAACAAGTAGTCACTGCAAGAAGAAGAAGGCACAAAGTTAAGCTCTTCAGGTAATAATTGCTTCTCACTACAAGGGACTTCTTTTTCTCCAGCTTGTAAGGCCATAGGAACACTTACTAAAGCAGCTCTAAGCATTCTAAAACACCATTTCATTTCCTTGAAGAGGACTGATTTAAGTTTTCATTTTTATTCAAAATAATTACAAAATCAATATGTTATATCAAGCGAGATGATGTACAACTCATGAAGAACAAACCGTTTAACCACGACTTTGTAATTTGCCTAGCGTGTGTTTATCTAACTAGTTTGCTATCTCAGCTGAAAACCTGCACAGGCCATTGAAAAGATCCCCAAGCCAACTCGTACAAAATATGAACGACTATGAGAATCCTTTCTTTCTAAATTTACAAGAAACTCTAAGATACCGATGGGACACAATATTTGACAACAGGAACCAAGATTAAAGTTTCTGAATGCTCTCAAAAAGATAATGCACGATCATAAGGATCCATTTGTACTTTTTGCATCCAATTTTGAAAAGAAAATAACAAGGAGGATGAAAGAGGAAACATGTTCGTGCAAAAGAACCCGACACAAGCTGAAGGGCAGAAAGAAGGATCTGCTGTGGATGGACCACATTTATGAATGTTTCAAACCAAGACAACCTGTAATTTCATCATTCCTTTCCAACGCAGTGAGGTACTAAAGTTGGACAGCAATAACTGCCGTAAAGCTGCCCTGAAAGAGAACGTCCCCTCAACATCTACTCGGTAGAACCACTCGTACCTCTATTTTCCTGCTTCTTAATGTTCAAAATATCACCTTTTTAATTAAAGTTGATCGTTTTGTAAAAGAAGTTTGATTCATTCACATTCGCAAGCAAATCAATGCAAAAGAAAGAAAAAGACTAATCAGCTCCGCTCCATTACGCTGCACAAGCAGAATCTTCGTTCAGATCATCAGATCTGGAGCAGGGCTCACGTTCCTTCTTGATCCAAAACAAAGAAAAGCATCAAGATCCCAAGCGAACAACATACCCGCGCCGCGCCCAATGTGCAAAGAATGAAATGGGCCTAAAGCGGCAGATCCCCCCAACAAACAGCCGACACGAGATCAAATCGAGAGGGAAGACACGCCGAGAAATCCATGCAAGTCTAACAGATACCGAAGAAAGGCAAAAAACAGAGGGGGAGATTGACTCACTACTCGGGATTCATGGCTGGTTGAAGGAAGAACGAGGTTAATCGCGCGAACACTGATCCCTTCCCTTCTCTTCCTTCCTCCCCTCCCCTCCCCTCCCGGGTTACGGAAGGCGACGAGAGATACGGGAACGATCGGGAGGAGACCACGCCCTCTGTTGTCCCATTAATAATAGCAATAATGGTACCATTAACAATAATACCTTTCTAATTATATTACTACCATTAATAATATTATTAATGAACGAAATAAACAATCAATTTGTTAATTAATTAATTCTTTGAAGACGTCCAGTAATTGAGCGAATTCACGAAAAAAAATCATTTTTCGTTTATGTCTCATTTTTAGAATTTTCAAACCATTTTTTAATACCTGAAATACCCTTTTTTCAATTATTTTCTCATAGACCGATTCAAAAGGTCAACTTTTATACTATGTTATTGTATTTTTAATACTACCAGAAAAATAGTATAATATATTTATATTTTATATAAATTTTATAAAAATATTGCATTTATAATATTTTTTGTAATAGTATTTTTAGAAAAATACTATTATGTATAAAAATACTGTAACACAGTAAAAAAAATTATTGGTATAGTGTTTTTTTATTGCTGAAAATATTATGACTGGTTACGTCTTTACCTCTGACTAAGCTCATTACCTCTATCTATTTATATCATCATATCATTCGGAACAGTGTCCTTCGTCTCCTCCTCTTCTTCTCCTTCTTCTTCCCCCACCACCTTCTTCCAAAACCAGTGCTCCCTCCATATCTGATCCATTTTCTCCATAGGCAGGTTCTTCGTCTCCGGAACGAATAATATGACGAACACGGTCATGATCAAAGTCCACCCTCCAAAGAAGAAGAATACGCCAGACCTGAGATGGCAAAGCATGGGCAGCAAGGTCTGGCCGACGACGGAGGCCAACAGGAGCACCACCGCCACCACGATACTTTGCCCTACCGATCTGATCTCCAGCGGAAACATCTCGGTCGGCACTAGCCACGCCAATGGCCCCCAAGACAACCCAAAACCCGCAACATATACACACACCAAGACCAAGACCACGTACGCGGAGCCTTTGCCGACTCCTCCGTGATCCCCGAGCTGCTTTGCCAGTATCCCTCCCACCGTCACGTGCGTCGCCAACATCTGAACTCCTCCCACGATGAACAGAGTGCGCCGGCCCACTCTGTCGACCACCGTCATGGCTATGAGGATGAATCCCACGTCGATGACCCCTGTGATGACAGCCGACAGTAGAGAGGAGCTCTCTTCGAGGCCCATGGATCGAAAGATGAGCGGAGAGTAGAAGGTTATGGCGGCGATCCCTGTCATATGCTTGAAGAACGGAATCAAGATGGCCATCACAAGCTGAGGTCGGTACTTGCGCCGCATGATGATGCGAAGAGGGTGCTGTGCTGCTTTGGAGATTTCCCCTGCGGCGATTAGGTGGTCTAGCTCGGCTTGCACATCATCCGTGCCTCGTATCTTCCGGAGCGTCGCCGTCGCCTTGTGGACGGAATCGGTGTGTTGAATCAGACTGGTTGGCGTTTCAGGAAGGAAGAGTGTGCCGAGTGCCAAGATTGTGGCCGGAAGTACAGCCAACCCAATGGAGATTCTCCATCCCCAACCAGAATGGATCTTCTGAGTTCCATAGTTGATCAGGTTGGCAGAAAGTGTTCCCAATCCGACGAAGAAGAAAAACCCGTTGTTTATTGCACCTCGGTGTTCTGGTGGAGCCATTTCCGATAGGTATAGAGGGACAGACTGCAAGCGATGGTAAACAAAGAAGCAGCAGTCGCAGAAGAGAATACATAGCGATAGATGGGTCGTATACCTGATTGGTGAAACCGACGCCGATGCCGAGCAGGACGCGGCCTAAGATGAGCATGTACACGTTGATGGCCAGGGCGCCAAGAACAGCTCCCGCCATGAAGAAGGCGCCACCGAGCAGCATGGACGTCCGGCGACCGAAAGCCTGCGTCACCCACGACGCGCACAGGGAAGCGAAGAGGCCAGCGGCGTACAAGGAGGACGTGAAGGTGCTCAGGAGCTGGCTGTCGAACTTGCAGTAGTTGCTGGTGGCGTGAGAGTTCTTCTCATGCATCTCGGCGTACACGTCCGGGAAGAACTTCTTCAGGAACGGCTCCATGGAAGTCACCCCACCTGGGAAAACCTCACACTCAAGACGTGAAACATACGACGATCGATCACCGAGAGCCAGCGCGAGAGCAGAACCTGAGATGCCAAGGTCGTAGCCGAAGAGGATTCCGCCGGTGGCCGCGACAGTGCACGAGAGGATGACAAAGGCCGTGATTCTTCCCTTGTAGTAAGCTTGGCGCTTGCCGACGACCTCAGACGCCGCCATGGGTAGATGTCAGAGAGCTCGGACGCTAGCTAGGAGACGATGTTCTGACTGGAAAAGACCGAAATCTCATATCAATTAATTTAGTCGATAAAGATCGTAATATTTTGAGACTCGATTCGTCTTTATCATTTATCGTTTATAAACAAAAGAAAAAAAGTACGATCGTGATATAAAACAATATAATAAAAATATATTCCCCGATATTGCGACGAGAACTTCTTTGATGCGAGGTCAGAAAAAAAAAATAGTTTTTTTCAACTGTATAAAAAAATCTCTTTATTCTGTTAAGAAAAATTCTTTGTGGAAAGAAATCCTTCCTCTACTCTGTATAAATAGAAGAGGGATATATATTAACGTGTACTTTTTTTTCTTCTCAGATTTATCCAAATACCTAAGAAAAGCAAGAGAAAATAATTGTTATGATTCCTCAATCATTAATTATCAGCTCCATTCTTCTCTTAGTGATAAAGAGATCGTTAATTTCGCATCTATCTGATCACCTTTTTATGGACCATATAATGTGGGAGACCAATAAAAATATTTCGTAGCATTAGGAGAGGAATATGTACTATTCCATCCCCTCCACTATTTCGGTTCGATGCTCGTCGCATTAATATCAGTGCTTCCACTTACAGATTCCCAAATCAAAGAATAAGATCGTCGATCAACTCAAGTGAGGGCCGTCTGATCGACTTGGAACTTTCAAAAGCGGGAGGAAGGAAAAGGACCACGAGAAATAGAAGCAATTAACGGATCGGATCGGGTCAAGAAATTTAGACCTGCTAATGTGTCGGATCAGCTTCGGACAGCACAGGCCAGATCCGATTTCGGCCGATACGGGCCTTGGAAAGCCCACGAGGGTAGCATTAACTTCGCCCTCGTTAGCCCACAAACCGCCCAAGCTCTTCTTAGGCGAACAGGGCAGGGAGGGACGGCGAGTTGAGATGCAGAAGAGGGAAGCCGGCAGGTCGCCCGGCTCCTCCACCACGCCCGCCAAGCGCGGACGCCCGTTCGGAAGCACGGCGGCCGCTGCTGCCGCCGCCGCTGCTGCTGCTGCCGCCGCTGCCGCCAGCTCCGCTTCCTTCGCTGCCGCAGGCGATGCTAATTCTCCGGCGTCACTCCTTGGTCCTTCTCTCCACGTCCCGAACTCCTTCGCCGGTTAGCCTGCAGATTCCCCTTCCTCTTCATCTCCCTGCTCTCGCTCTCCCTCTCGACTCAGAATGTTGGCCCAAAGATGTTCCTTTTTCTGACTTTTTGCCGAATGTATCGTTCTTTGAATCTCTTATGGTATTAAGTCTACATATTTGATAACGGAGAATGATTTCCCTTTCCTCTCCCCCGCTTTATATAGAACTTTGAATCACTTTTATGGTATTGAGTAGCATATTTTTGCTTAAAGAAGCTTCTTTTTCTTTTCGCTTTCGTTGATAATATCGTTTTTTGGATTGTTGATAGTATTAACTCTACAAATCGTGAGCTACAAGATTGTGTTCCGGCAGAACTTTTAATTGACCAAAAAATTCTCGTTGGTTTAGGTAACTATGGCACGCCTATTCTTCCACGTGAGTCCTCTGGGGACGAGCTACTGGATAGGGCCTTTTGAAAACCTATTCAACATAGGAAGTTAAATTAATGTGATAAACTGGACAGGAGGAAGTTGAATCAACCATGTTTAGTTGGTTCTAACAGAAAACAATAAACTTGTGATAGATTGTGGCAGCCACCGGCTGACATGTATTCTGCATAATTTACTTAATTCATTAGTTTCATTTAGCAATGTTATATTTGGTTCATCACATAAAGTGAGCCCAAACCAAAGGTCAATCATGCGCTTTTTGGATCAGAATGTTGGGCACTGGAAACAATGTATCAGGATAGTGATTTAGGAGAGGTGGAGCAAGGCATAAAAAGAACTTTATTAGAAATGATAAACAGAGATTTGATGGTTTTTAATCTGACAGATTGCCCTGAACAGAGCATGATGGTGGGAGGTAGCCAATCTCAAAATGTTTCGGCGCCTTTTGGACCTATGAGTCTAAGAGAAAAAGGGAGTAACAAGATTCATCATGAGAATGATGTGCATCTAAGAGCTATAAACAACCAATGAGTCAACTGGAACCTTCTTTCCCTTTTTCTTTTATGATTTTTCAGTGTGATGTACATTGATTAAGCATGAAATGGTGTTTGCATGGATAGGGAGCTTATTTGATGTTAACTTGATGGTAAAGGTGTTATGTTTCCTTTACTTGGTTATTGTACTGAATATATTTTTACAGATCAAAACAATAAAAGAATTGTCTTGGCGTTGCAAAGTGGCTTGAAGAGTGAGCTGACATGGGCATTGAACACACTTACCCTGCTTTCTTTTAAAGAAAAAGATGATCTACGAAGGGACTCAACAGCGCTCGCTAAGATACCTGGACTGCTGGATGCTCTCCTTCAAGTTGTAGGTGCTAGTATTTTTTGTATTTATTTTGTTTAATATTTTAAGACATTTAATTTCTATGGAGGTAAGTTTGTTGCATGCCATGTATTTGGAGATCTGATAGAATAGCAGCTGTTCTTCCTGGATTGGTGCTATGTGGTTCTAATTTCTAACTATTTTCTTTGTTGTTTTAATCACCAAAAGTGATGCCAGCTTTAAGCTGCTTGCGGCCTTTAATTTTTATCATGGTTAAGAACTCTTTTAAGCATATGGATGAGAACACTTGTTTTTCTACAAATCGTGAAGATCATTTGTATTTTAAGTTTTTTTTCATTTTGTTTTGAAACCTTATGTTTTTAGTGTTATACTCACATTAAGGTTTTCATGTCATCCATGCATGTAAGGTTGATGATTGGCGTGACATTGCTTTTCCTCGAGACTATACAAAGCTTGCACGAGTGAGAACATTGGGTGTAAATTCAGTGGTTACAGGTTTTGGAAACGAGTTTGAAGCGACGAGCAGTCTTGATACCACTTCCCATCCTGGGTGTGTTAGAATGACATTCGCATAGCCAACTTCTCATTTCAGGCACCCTTATATATCTCTTTACTATGATGTTTGGATTGAATTTGATAGTTTCTATTGCAGTCATAAAAGTTCATCTAATATGGAGGCATCTAGTGGGAAAAAACATCGGTCAATGGACTGGTGGTTTGAAGATGATGGCTTGTTTAACGTGGATGAAGAAGGTCGGGCAGAAAAGCAACAGTGTGCCGTTGCTGCTTCTAACATCATTAGGAACTTCTCTTTCATGCCTGATAATGAAACAATCATGGCACAGCACAGGCATTGCTTGGAGACAATGTTCCAATGCATAGAGGATCAGAACACTGGTACATAACTTTTATGATAAGCTTTAAGTTTTAGTCGCTTTTGGTAAATTCGTTTGGTAACCAATGTTCATTTGTTATTCCAAAGGGAATATAGTTGCTTTAGTCTTGTATGGTTTCTGATTTGTCAATTTTGCTATTGATACCTACCTTGACTTTTCCCATGTTTTGAGACTAATATTTTGTTGTGGTTGGATCCAGACAGTTGAAAGTGTTGTCTTTATCATTATGTGATTCTCTTAGTTAATTCAAGAGTATCTGAAAGACAGTAGGCTTTTGCCACTGTGGACTGTCAAGCATACACAACCTTACCAGACAGCAGAGAAGATTCTTTTCAATAGCTTGAACCCATTATCCATAAGCAAGTAGCAGTTGTTAATTTACATGAAAGGATTGACATAAAGCAGTATGGGAAATAGCAAAGCCTGCTGATTACTGGTTGAGGAATGAATGATGCATATGATGCAACTGCTGTTGTCAAGTGGAAAACCGAGACTAATCACATGGCTCACATATAGTTAGGCACGACCATGTGGTTCTTAACGATAATTTGCACAAATATTTATCAGTTACTTATTTTGAAAATGCCAGGCTTTAAAGTTATTCTGTTTAATTTGTTTGTACAGAAGATGAGGAGCTTGTGACCAATGCACTGGAGACGGTTGTCAATTTAGCTCTGCTTTTGGACCTTCGTATATTTAGCTCGTCTAAGCCATCATTTATCGCAATGACGTGAGTCTTTGAACGGAAAAATCCCTCTTATAGCTATTTCCTTATGTCTGCAAATCCTAATACTGTCCCCATGAAAGCAGTGAGAAACGTGCAGTTCAAGCCATCATGGGGATGCTTGGATCTTCGGTCAAGGCTTGGCATTGTGCAGCTGCTGAATTGCTTGGACGCCTCATAATAAATCCTGATAACGAGCCGTTTCTTCTTCCTTCAGCTCCAGAGGTCAGTTACCCATTACTGATTTGGTTATGGATAACCTACCATGGTCTCGATTCCCAGTATTCCACATCGCATAATACATCAGTTTTCAACAGCGGTTGGGATTTAGTGAACTCCTCTCGTTGGTCCACATCATGTTGGACTCTTGAAGGTGTATATTTGTTTTAGCAGAGGTGTATATTTGTTTCTCAAGTGCATGCCAAACTGCTATAGTTTTATGCTTCGGCCATTTCACCCGAAAGCAGTATGGTTAGTAGCTAGCTACATTGTGAGGTGGATCTTATTTTTGCTGTTCAGATGTACAAGAGACTAGTCGATCTTCTTAGCCTGCCAACCGTCGATGCGCAAGCAGCTGCCATCGGGGCACTCTACAATCTTGCAGAGGTGAATGCAGATTGCAAAGTGAGGCTTGCAAGCGAGAGATGGTGAGCAGCCTGAAACCTTCAATCGTGCCCCTCCCTCTGCTGTAGTTCTTCTAATGCATGTGTCATGATCAAATTCAGGGCCATCGACAGACTCTTCAAAGTGGTGAAGACTCCGCATCCTGTGCCTGACATTTGTAGAAAAGCTGCGATGATACTGGAAAGCTTAGTGTCCGAGCCGCAAAACCGGCATGTGCTTCTGGCACACGAGAGCAGCTTTGCGGAGATCCTTATGTCAGATGGGAGGCACTCCGATACGTTTGCACGAATACTGTACGAGCTTACATCAAGACCCAACAGCAAAGTTAGTACGACTCGTGGTGTATGGGGGATGTGAGAACATTATGTATGATTTACGTCTTTGCTACCTAGAGGTTTCGTAGCTACATAGTAGTAGGAGAATTATAGTGGGTTAGTGTGGGCCACATGTTTCTCCTTCTTCATGAGCAGAATTTGCAAGTAAATATGGGTGATTTTTTTGAAATTTTTTTAATTTTTTTTTTTTCAAGAGATGTGTGTTTTATTTTTATTTTTATTTTTAAAATAATTTTCTTTTCTCATCAGTACCAATGATGTGTTTTCTATTAGTGATGGAGATACCATAGGGTATATGGATCAAAGTTGATGGATGGGTTTGTATCCATAGGATCTGTACAGGAATTTATTGGTCACTCAAAATGGGGATCAAATTACAGTGGGTAGGTGTGAGCCAATTTATTTGCGAGGAAATAGCCTTCTCCAGCCTCTTTGAGGATGGTGGATGGATTGGCATCGTGTAATGGCTTGCTGGCGAGGTGAGGAATCAAAGAGGACAAGCACAAAACATGACCCCTTAGGGGGAAAGGCACACATTCCAAGCTTCCACTCCTCCTCCTCATCGAATTCTCCTCCTCTTCCTCCTCTGCAGCCATAAATAAAGCAGCTCCCTCCCACCTCCATCATCCCCACCCCCGCCCTCACCTGCCCTGCGATAAACGAGTGCTTTTGTCGTGTTTCAGAATGGGCATTCCCATCAGCGTTCTTGGGAAGCTCGGCAAGTGCCCTCCTCGCTCCATGAAAGCATCTGTCCCTTGTAATTTGTCTTCCCACATTGATTACTTGACGATTCATTATCTCCTACAGGCCTGCCAGGGGTGGATTCCTTATCTACGGATCAGGTGTATACCAAATACTTCGGCGACCAAAAGATCAAGACCTACAAGGACTTTCACAATGCTTTCCTTTCGCTTTGCAAGTAAACATTCTCTGTGCCTGTTTTCTTCTTCTTCTTCTTCTTCTTTTTCTTCTTCTTTTCTTTTTGTTCCGTATCGAAATCATTTGTATGATCTCATATTTCTTTTTTTTGTGGTGGTGCAGCGATTTTAATGCAATCATGCCTGGTAAACATTATAAGATCAAAGCAAACCAGAAGGAAATAGAGGTGAGCTTGCCTGCCTACCGACTCCTCGTCCCCAATAATTTCCAGAGTCTTTGATTTGTATGGATGGCTACCGAGACTTGCTGATTGCCAGCTAAACACAAGGATGTCAAGATTGTTAGTATATAAAATCAAGGAGATGCGAGTACGGAAGCTCCGAGGTGGTCCTCGTGGATATGCCCCCCTCGTTGGCAAATGTGAGAGAGAGAGAGAGAAGAGAGAGAGAGAGAGAGATTGTGGAGCTATGGAAACTTCTTCCTGTGGTTTTCTTTCTCTCTCCCTGATGTTGTTTTGTGTGCAGGATTTCTTCAAGAACAAGTGGTTGACAGCTAAGGAGACAGAGGAGTCGGGGCAGCAGAAGACGAGGAAGGATTTGCTTGTGGAGTTCATGAAGGAGAACGTGGAGGAGTACAAGGCAAGCTCCTCCTCTGCGATGATATGGGTTGGAACAACCGTCCCTGCGGCCGCCGTCCTGCTTAAGAAGTCAGGGGAGAAGGTGCCGCAGGTGAAGAAGTTCCGGATCGACCTCGTCCCCAACTTCGTCTTCGTGCCCACCTGCACACTGCTCTCGCTCATCGCCGTCAGAATGATCAACGTCACCAAGGCCACCCGGACTACCTCTTAGAACCACCCACCTTCCCCCCTTACCGATCTCACCTTGCTCTTATCCCTGCATCACATGAGCATATATACAAGTAGAAATCTATTGGAAATAAGATAAATGGAAATAAAAGAAGAAATGTCAAACCTGTCTGCATTGGTGGGCCTATGAGCATGTATACAAATAGAAATCTATTGGAAATAAGATAAATGGAAATAAAAGAAGAACTGTCAAACCTGTCTGCATTGTTGGTCTCTGTCCCTGTGAATCAAACCTCATAAATTAACAAGCTAAACACAACAAAATACACATTGCAAAGATCTCCAGAGACTCGGTTTTCATATCCTAATATGACTGACAATATTGCACGAAAAGTGATGGGTCGAGCATTTTAATTCATCAATGAATATCCAGTAGGCTCACTAAACTTGGACGCTCTGGTTATATGCAATTGCTGATCTAGAAGAACTCGGTTGACAGATCGAATAAAGCTCATGAAAAGCTGAGCCACTTCATTTCATGCACATCTAAGATTTATTAATGAAAAAGTTCTAGAGAAATATGCTCTGCTATTCAAAATTTCCATGCATATGGAGATGTAGCAATGAAGTATTGGATGAGCTAATTTTTCAGACATTTTATTGACCGCAAGATAGTTTCACTAAGTTCCTAATTAGAATATCCAAAAGCATTCATCTATCCTTCACACCAGCACACAACATTGTATTCTCTTCTCGGGAAGAACACACAGCAAAGTATAGTAACCACATTAAAATTCCTCCAAGGCAAAAAAACATTCACAATCACATTTGCCAACGATTTCTACTTAAGATTGCTCAACAAACAGAAGACCCACACAACGGTGAGAGAAGGCTTCTAACTTAACCATCTCTTGAAAGAATCAGTCTTCCTGTGTGTGTGTGTGTGTGTGACCTGAGTTAATACTGTTAGATTCTGAAAGCTTCCACTATGACATCAATTTTAATCGACCCTCCAGATAACATAACAACTGACAAGACCATTAGCTTAGCAAATATTAAGTCAAAAAAGGTCGATGTGCCACTGGAAAAACCAGGATTACACCTTACCTGTGTAAGTGGAAGGTGGATGCACCTTAGGAACACAGTTTTGTGACTTCAAATTGAACTTTCATGAACATGCAATTTAACTAAATATAGGGTGTGCATAATTTTCCAATGTGAGCAACTGGAATGCAGGACACACTACATCTTTATGCAACCTTAGCAGTCAAATCCGCAATGCAAGGCATGCACAACAAAGTAGAATGAGACTGTAAACGAGCATGATGTTGTCTATAAATGGGAATCAATCCAACCCTATGTTTATGACACGCCTGTAAGATATAAGTGACAGTCATAGTCTTACCAGAAGTAAATTACAAACTTGCAAAACACATGCAAACAAATACACAAAGCATAGCATGTCAAAAATCAAACTCTCACCAGCATCCGACCTTGTATAACTCACAGAAACTCTAGGGCAATGGATAACCTGATGGTAGGAGCTTCCAAGAATCAATGAGGTATATTTTCATTTGTCATCATGAGCTCCTCCTCCTCCTAGCCCAATGCTTACAGAGTACATCAAGACAATAACTGACTGAATAAACTAACACAGGCACAAACATGACACTGGCATTACTACAAACTTGTACGGTTCAGATTGTTTGTTGCTCCCGAGGCTTCATCATCTTTGCCATCTTCTCTCTGAAAAGTTGATGGAACAACTTAAACATGTCAGTGAAAGATATCGATAGACGAGGTGAATAAAAGAAAAAAAAATATTTTAATTTTTTGGTCATCTAAAAACAAAGTCAAGAAAATTTTACTCTAGAAATGCCACATGAATTGGATGATTACCCAATCATTCTATAGAATATAGATGTATCCATGTATGATAGTCACATGCAATGGCACACATGCCTTGCTAGAGAGGAAGATAGTGTTTATCCAACTAGAAAATAAGCATTCTTAATATGAGATTGTGTTACTTCACACCTAAAACGCAGACATCGTCTGTGACATGAGAAAATCATATCCTAACACAGTGCAGACAACAGTGCAATAGAGTCTGCGGTACCCGTGTGTTCACAAGACCAGTGATTACCAGCAGAGTTATGAGGAGAATGAACTCCATTGCTGTTTCCAGTCTTCTGGGCTTGTGATGCTGATCTTTGCATGCGTGGGGATGAACTCTGCTTTCCATTTTCGATAGGTAAAGAATGTCTCTTCTTAGGCTGGTTATCATGCACATCAGGGCTGGACTTTGGGGGTGTACTAACATGGGCTTTAGCTCTGGCAGATGCAGTGGCTTGCATATAACCTGGAAGAGAATTGCTGCTACTGAGCCTGGGTTCCTGATCGACATGCTCAGTTTTTGCCATCCCAAGTGAGTTACGTCTCTTTGGAACTTTTGAATCCTTTGTTGAGTTCTCGGAGCTACTTCTTCCACCTGAATCATTGTTTGGATTACACGGCAATCTTTTACCTACCAAATTAGACCTTTGCCTATGAGTAGGCAGGTTATTATCCTTCTTACTCTTTTTGGCATTTACAGAGACATCACTAGATGGAGTTCCATGTAGATCAGGCATTGCCACATGACCCCTAGGAGTTCCTTCAGGCGACCTAGCTTGCTCTGTCATACCTTCCAAATGAGACTGCATATCTGAAGTAGTAGACTCGGCTGGATGTTGATCAACCTGCACCACGCCGGTAGAAGCATTCATGTTGGCCATAGTCTGGTCACCTCCATGAGGTCTTTGTGGCACCGTTATATCTGAAGTCAAGCGAGAGTCATTCTCATTGCCACAAAAATCAGAAATATCAATAGGATTCTCAGCATCAGCGCTGAATGAATTATTATGTTTCTCCAGGGCTCCAGTTTCAACAACTTCCCCACTTTCCATTTCAGATCTGTCCAGTGAGTCAAGCATGGAGGAGACAGATAATTCAGTGCCAAACTCTGAAATCTCAGCTTCCACCCTTGAATCCTGCCACATTGACTTCTCTGCTGAAATTGCTTCGTTGTTGTTTGTAAAAGAATCCACTCGAATATTGTTGCTCTCTGTTTCTGATTTTGACACAGCAGTTTGATAAACAGGACTAACAGACCGACCAACAGTTGACACTGAACTCAGCTCTTCGAACTTTGACTGAGCTGCAGCAAATGCTGGATTGCGTGGTTTTCTTGGACCAATTACAGATTTCTTTCCTTCATTCTCCAGTGTTTCAGACGATGCACTTTCATTGGTATGGTTGGAGTTGACTTTACATTCAAGCTTATCAGGTACAGAATCAACTAAGATTTCTGAACTCATCTTTGGTTGCAATTGTTTATTGTCTGATATAGAATCCAAACTTTCCTCATTAGCCATCTCAGTTTCTGTACAATCTTGAACTGTGATGTTCAAGACCTCATTTTTTAACTCTTTGTTTTCAAAATCACTCTCCCCTAAAGATTTGGAGGACTTATCTGGAGCAATTCCTGGATTTTGAAAGCCAAAGCTACCAATACTTTCTGTAGTTAAACTATTTTTGCCATCATCTGTCATGACTAATTCCGTTGGAGCCAACTTAGAATCAGATAATGCTGAGGAATCTGAATGTGTGATCTCTGTTGCCGAGTCATCATCTGCCATTTTAGCATTCCCATCTAGAGCACAACTATCTTGGTTGAGATTTTCCTCATGTTGCTGGCTTAGCCCTGATGACGTTACAGCCATCCATCTCTCCAACCACTTCCATGCTGAATCAGACTTCAACGGTTCACATTTTATATATATAGTTTTTGACCTCGGTGTAGTCTCCAGAAGCTTGGAAGAATCATAAGATGCAAGTTCGCATAATAGCAAATTAGATTAATAGATAAATCCAATACGTCAAAAATTGAGGGTGAGTAGCCATACCTGACGAGCAAGTTTATTGGAGAGTAATTTCTCGATTGATGTTTTTGATTTCTCAAAATAGTCTCCCTTTCCCTAATAAAAAAAATGTAAAAACATTTAAGAAAATAAAATTAAATTTTAACAAGCATCAACCACATTAATCAGTAGGCTCAAATACAATTCATCATGGGATAGACATGCTTGGTAGAGAGACCCATACTGAGGCACAAACATAACACTAGCATGCATTTTCTTACAAGTAGAATCCAGATCTTTCAACACAAGTATTATCATCAAAATCAACACAGTTCAAAAACAAAATCCTAGCCCACCATTGGAGTTATATAACGCAATAAAACTAGTGACAATTTGGGAAAGGATATATGATAGCTATTATCTTATCAGATAGCATAAACACTACCAAGATAATGAGGATTAGGCACTTCTTTAACACAAAGTCATGTGCATAAATGCATTGGTTTGAAGCAATTGGAATAAAAGAACTCTGAATATCACAATTCACAGTCAGACAAGAATTTAGCTTCCCACTATCGTTTGTTGACTAAGAAGTTTGCTGACAAAGAGAAATCTGTGGAGCTAAGACCCATCTATAAGAATTGCATAGTTTCAGACACTTATCCAAGGCCAAAACAAAATCAACATGTTCAAAATTCTAGAAGCACGTTAATATTGTTTCTTACATAGTGAAGATCAAGTTAGTAACATGTACTTGAAAGTGCTGGTATTATGGTGCCCTTGCAATAAGACGCCATCAGATGAAACACCAAAAAAAATTTGAGGATCTCTGATTTATCTACCTGGAAGTTCTTATCTTCTGGAGAAGATTTTTCAACTAATTGACGAGCATGATGATCCCTTACAAGTGCTTGCATTCTTATGATGGCTTGAATACACCGGAAAGTTTCAATGGCCTGCCTTCTCACCAGATGTCCACGTACAGCAGCTTGTAACTTGACAACGCTCTTAAGTTTAAGGAGCTTTTTCCTGGCCTAAAGATATTTCTAAAGGTGAGAAAGTAAATACAAGCAATACAACATGATTAACAGTCAGAATCAGGTAAAGAATATACCAAATATCCCCTTATAGCAGACTGAACAATTACAGCATCAGATTCATTGATGGCAGGACCAACTGTATCTGTACTTCTGTTAGAACTCGATGGAGGAGCTTCGGTACTTACTATCTCCGATGGTAATGGAGAGGTTTCAATTGGCCTTTCTTGTATTTGGACTTTCTCCGGATAAGCATATTTCGGTGAATGGAAATTAGTAATCGTGACTTCTTGACTTTGCTTGCTAGAGCAAATGGATACAGGTTCTGAGATCACAGTGTTGCTTAGCACTCGATGCTTAGACGATCTCTTATAGAAACTCCACCTGTGCTTATCCGATGAAGCTTTGGCCTGAAAAATATAGAAAATATTCACTAACATCTGTACAGCAATGACACTTAATAAGTATTAGGACGACAAAAAAATAATATGTGAACATCGATGTTTTTAGTTGCCAAAGAAACAACAGGTATATATGTCAAAATGCTTTGTCAACTGTACCATTAAATATAAAAAGTTAGTTTATTGAACTATGTTTAATTGCATGTGCACGTGTTTTGTTTTTTCAATTTCTTTTGTGTGCAGGTCATATGCCGTCAATAAAGTTATTAAAGATCCAACTGGTATATGTGCCAAAATGCTTTGTCAACTTGTACCATTAGCTACAGAAACTTATGTTATTGAATTTTCAGTTTTTGGTTTTCTTTTGTCCACATGCAGATGCGTTATTTAGTATCAATAGTTGATAAAGCTTGTTTAACTAAAAACTAAATGCTCATATTAGATATCTAGAAAAACAAAATTCATGGCATATTGTGAAAGCCTCATGTGCATGTACTGTTTTGTTCTTTGGTTTTCTTTTGGTGCACACACAGAAGTGTTATTAGCAGCACTAGTCATTCAAGTGAAAACTGAAAGTTCCTACAAGATATCTACTAACAATTTGGGCTAGCAGCCACCCCCAAGACTTACATTAGTGCAACATTACTCTCTGTGTGGGCCCAGCAATTCCAAATAGAATTTATGATATTCCTTTTCCTCTTCTATCCACAAGCTGAAAGTGCATGATCAGGTGTGGTCAAGGCAATATTTGTACTAGTGATAGCAGAACAATCTCTCCATTTCAACAGTTGGAATGATTTAACTCAGTTCAGGCGCACAGTAAACGGAATGCAAGATTGCAGTCAGGCAGATCCTTCTGAGATCAATTCGAAATGATTTCCATCTCCGATATGCTTCCAAGCAATCCCTACGACCTACCTCAATCTTACAGATCCGTATGACGGAGAACATCCACCATGATCCGTCAATCCCCACCGCGATCCTCATGCTAATATGCACAGGTGATCATGCAGATGAACCAAGCTTACTAAAGTGCAGCTTAATTATGGAGTTAACTGGGTCAAAGCCACTGATTTAACCATCTGGGAAAGAATCTGATAATTTGGTCAACATCACTTTAGCTAAACAGATTCTTTCCTTCATCTGGGTCACGAAAATGGAACTCGAGAGATCCAGGACACGGATCGGAAGCGAGGCGAAGTTTGATCCAAGTAAGCTCACATACTAACTACTTTCGACAAAGATCCACAGAGGTCCCTCCAATGCCAGCTCGAACAACAACCAATTAAATCGGATCGGAAAGCCAAAAGGTCCGAAACTAACAAAGACGCTAACCGAAATTACCTCTTCCGGTCCGAGATCGTCGTCGTCGTCGATGGCATCCCCGCCGCCGCAGCCAATGATCTTGAAGCATGAGCTCGAGGGTTTCCCCATTGCTCCTTCTCTTCTTCCTCTTCTTCTTCGCGGATCCCTCCGGCTTTGGGTTCGGTAATGGACTGGGTTTCGTCCTTTCTAGAGCTACCGAGAGCAAGAGCAACTGAGAGAAGCCACTCTCTTTCGTGTCCGTCGATCGGGTTTTAACAGAGCGGCTCGGAATTTAAAACTGGCTCATCAAATCCGATTAAATCCCGCTCCTTGGCGTCCGCCCCTCATCTCTTCATTTCGAGTCGCCGTTCGGCTTACCCATCTCCTAGTCGTGGCGCCTATACCGGCTCTGGGGCCCAAACTGTGCGTGGCGAATGAGGAGGGTAGGGAAGTAGGGTGGTCCGTCAGAAGCCCTGATTTAAAGCTAGCCGACCGGTAAGCTTACCTCGAGATTGGGTGAGAACCGCGTCGGGCGACGGCTTCAGTTAAGAAAGCTCGTAAATTACAAACGGGACGAAAGCTCGTAACGGGGTTTTCGAAACGGTCCGTTTTGGTCATCATCGATGATGAGGCAATTAACTACCGTTGGCGGAACGCCCGTTCCGTCGTGATGATAAGGATGTGGCAATTGTCCGTGATTTGTCACAACAACAGCTGATATTAGACACGTGCAATGCACGAGATCAATGAATGGAACAATTTCCACGTTACGACATCCTTCCCTATCCTATGGTTGATTGATTACTGATCACCTTGATGCAATGTCATGTTGAACTCATTTTATCGAAATTGGATGCATCTGCGTTCCCAGCTGCACATATGGTCAACCAAGGCCATCATTTCTTCAGCAAAAGGAAAAAGAAGTAGGATCGTCGATTCCTGTTCTTTGTGGGTCACCAACTGTTATATGGTAATGTTGTTCTATCAAGCATGATGGTGATAGCATACCGTGTACCACATGCGAGGGGGGAGGGGAGTGAACAGACGCACATGGAACCTGAGCCGGCCATTTGCTCGAGTGAGCGTGCCACTGCCGCAGGCACGTGCGCGGCGAGCGCGCGTGGGGCCGGCGGTGGTTGGTGGACCCGGTGGTCCGTCGAAAGAATCTGACCGTCCGATGGCGAAGGGAGAGCGCAAGATTACTATTGATTAGGTAGCCGGTGAGTTTTCAGTCTCGACGAAGGGCACGAGAGCAGCTGGGCTGTCGCCGATTCCAGCGGATGATGATGATGACTAATATTAGAAATATGGTGAGACGTTAATGATGGATAGTCCTGTGTTGTTTGTCATATCGGGTGGGGTGGGGGGCAGTGACAGCCTATGCTCCACGTTGCTTGTGATAGAAAAAGAAAAAGTTCCCATGAAGCTTCCCAAGTCACATGATTACTGATGGGGCCCATCTGCGTGAGCCAACACAGGCCAGTGGCTCGACCACAGCCTCACCATCAGAGTCTTACTGTGTGCTTATGCTTACTTCTTATTTGCAGACTGCTGAATTCTGTGCATGGTGGGCAGGAGATCGGCGATTGCTTCCCGGGTGGAAGAGCAAGGCTGCAGTCACGACTTAATACTGATGACCTTCCAACTACTCGGAGCAAAAGATGTGAACTAGCGGTGACTTTACGTGCCTATATCTTTAGCTTTGGCAAAAGGTCCAGATGGGGAACAAGCTAACTTGTTCTTTGCCTTTCTTTTTTCCCCCTTCTTCTCTATCAAGCTCTTGCTTGTCTGTATTTGTATGCACAAGGATGAAGCTTTCCACTGTACTAGTAGTTCCCTTTGGATAGAATGCGGCTCGCCAGCGTCATGGTGTGCCAGCCAAGGCATCAAACCTGTCTTCCATCAACACCACGCTAAACCAGGCTCGATCATTCTACTTCACTGTCAACCAATATCGCCTTTCATTTTCACAATTTGATTAGCATCACCTGCAACAAATTTAAAGACAATGATCACGCGATTTCTTTTTGAGCAAACAAAACTATGAAAGAAACCCACTTCCAAGATCTTCTCGGATTGTAGCAGATACCTCTGAGCTATGATGCTCCTATGATTGCATGAACTGATCTTACAAGAGTTAATCAAATATATGGAGAAGCATAAACATGTTCCTCCTGTCATCAGAGATCCATCTCAAGGTTAGGCAGCATTATCCTGATAGGACAGTAATGATGCATATTCTCAATTCAGGGTTACTAAAGCTAAAGATGCAGGAATTAATCATTTAACCGGAGATATACCTAAGAAACGTAGGCATTGATCTACTCTTCAATCTTGGAATCTGATCCAAACTCAACCTGAAGTTTAAAGATTAATGAACAGATTTTACCAACTAATTATGCATATCAACCACCTCAAAATCATAGTCTCATAATTTCTTTGGGAGGTTAAATCCTTACCGATGTGGATTTGAAACCATAGCTCCAGAAGATTTCATTTTTGTATGGCAAGCAGCTCTGCTTTTCATTGTGGATACCAACCCCCGCGATATCACAGCTTTATATTTCTTATACATTTGGGAGGTTAAAATCTTACCATGTGGATTTCAAACCAAAGCTCCATCAAGTCCTGTGCTGCAGGCATCCCTACTTTATATAAATGATGCCTTCATCTTAGCCATCCTTTTGGCTGTCTCCATCTTCTTCAGATGAATTCAATGGTTCAATCTGGTCAACATGTTGACCCTCTAAACCTTTCTTCTCTTCCTTTAACCTGTCAAATATGGCTAACACGTACAGCAGAAAATTTTGAGAATAAGGTGTAATAAGCATTTCTTGCTAATTAACAAGAATAAAAAAGATAATATAAAGTTCAACTCACACCATACACAGTCACTCAAGATTACCTAAGAATGAGCAGGATGCAAATTCAATTGATCTTGGGAGCCAATAAATGCAAATTCAATTCTTGATGGGTGCACCTTTTTTTTTTTGGATGGGTGCTTATTCACAAAGGCATTAAACTCTTTTTTTTTTCCTTCAAAGAAAGCTCCTTATAGAGCTCAAATCCATTCAAATTAGGCATGCTCATTGAATTCCAATGAATTCATCTATGCTAGAGAATTAGCACCATAAGATTCCAAATGTACAAGTCCAACACTAGGTTTCATATCTCGATGCATAACAATGAGGGTTCAGTCAAGACGTTGATTGATACTCCTAGATCAAGCTGTTTATGAAACACATTCTAGGAGTTAGGCACAACTTCATACGTCTCACCGGTTCACTAAATACATACTTGGGCTTTGACTTCTGTGTCCAGAAATAATAATCTCAACCTGTTCTGGAAGAAAAAGAAAAAAACTTACCTGAAGCCCACTTTTTAATGGTCTAACAGTTGATTAGGGAACTTTATATAATCCTACCATATTCTTAAAGATACACTAAACAAGGCTCAGTTGAAATAAACTAATTTTTGAGGGACTTATACTTGAGACCTGACATTAGGAAGTAAAGCTATGAATAAATAACTAGAACACCACAAGTCTTTCTTTATCAGAAAACAGATCTAGAAACCTCGATGGTTCGCAGTAAAAACCACAGGACATTTACAAATTATTATTGCCAATGCATAGCATGTAGGGACAAATTTGTTCTCTAATACCTTTGTACATCTTGTCTATTCTCTAGATTCAAGCCAAACATTTCATGAATTAACAGCTCGAACCAGTTGGCCATACATCACCTCTGAATACATTCTTCTTTCTCATCTAAAGTCTACCAGCAAATTGGTTTAAACATGCATTCCTCTTCTCCTATTTCAAATCACATCTTTTCTTGATGAGGCTTCATTGCATGGGACTAGGGATTCCAAAATGCAAATCCCTTTTTGGGCCATGACCTCAGGGATCATTATAATTTACTAATGCTGCTTCTTAAACAATGATTTCATAGGTTTCAGTTTAGCTGAAACCTAAAATATCACATCCAATCACTACCTGAATCAAATCAATGCTCTTAAAACCATTTTGAAGCCAAGCATGAATGAACGAGAATGTAATCGTAGGTCATGTGTTTTCTGAGCCTAAGAATTTTGAAAAACAGTGGATATAGCCAGGCAAGAATATGATTATGAGACCAAGGGACTTGATTAACTATGAAAGGGAAGATAATGAAGTAAAATGGAAGTGCTCAACCTGTGCCCTTGCTATAATGACTCATAAGACTGCTCTCAGATCAATAGAGTCAAACACTAAAATTTATGGGAGGCTGAATCCCAATTAGGTTATTATCTGATATTGCTCAACATTGTAGTTTTCCTGCACTGCAAAAGTGAGAATCAGCCCCAAAGTTACCTCGAGCAACCAAGAATGTGCCCTAAGCCAATCAATTAGAAGTACTCCCATATGTGGATGAGATTAAGAGAGATGCATCGGTGAAATACCTGAACTGATTTGCTATGCCGGATGCTTGGACAAACTTCACAGGGTTCACATATTGTCCTCGATGTGCCATCGTCAACGAACAACAAAAGGAATTGATAGCGTGGATTGTTGTTAGCTAGCAAACCTAGGATAGATTAGAAAAACCCACCATAAAAGGTACCGAATTAATCGAGATGATGGATGTTGAATGACCCGGAGGTCGCTGTAGACGTCAACGTCACTAATGGTGGTGAGGGAGGTGACGTAGCGGTCGGCGCCGAGGGAGGCCTAAGGGAGGATGGTATACTGTAGGCGGTGAGAAGCGAGAACACCTCTGCCTCGCCATATCTTCACCACCGCTGGTTCGCCATGCGCAGGACGGTGAGATTGGCGTTCTTTCGTCCCCCGGAAGGGAGGCCGAGGCCGAGGATGATTTGGTGACGGCCATTACCGGTGGTGGCGGCGGCCGAGAAGGGCGCGACCGACTCAGTGTATCATGGGAGCGCTGAGGAAATTTACTGTACAATGGGGAGGGTGGTGACGATTTTTGGATCGTTGGATGGATTGCGATGTCACAACGAACGGTTCTGATTACTGTTGCTCACCGCGTACTAACCGCAGAACTTGACTACAGACGGTTCATTTGAATTTTTGAAACAGCACATTTGCCCCCCACCAAATCTTCATATAACATAAATATCCTTCTAAATATTATCGATAAATTTCAAGAATATATTAAATTTTTATATACTTAAAAGTCCCCTTATCACTTTGACAAATTATTTGTTTTTATTTTTTAATTTAAATTAAAAATATATTAAAATTATTGATTTAAATGATAAATC